TGGAAAGGAATTCCATTTAATTCTGCTTGACCAAAAATCTGTTTCCATAGTTCTAAAACATGTAATCACCCCAAGGTACATTGTCATTGCAGCTTAAGTGGCTCCGCGCTATCACTGAGGAAAATACACGTTGATTGGGAAAACAGTCCAGAATGGCTTTTGAAAAATAAAATGACCCTTTCCTGCTACAGCATTTAGTAAGGCAGTGGATTAAAGCAGGCAGACCTGACCATGTCTGACAGGGTTTAAGGGAAGAAGCTTTATGCAACTAGGAAAAATGGGTCAAAGGCAGTGAACTCCAAATTAGCATGGTAAATCACTCTCTATTATTTGAACTTGGACTAAAGTCTCAAAAAGAAAGAGAAAAAAGCATTTTAGATTTTATATAGATGGGTAATGTCTTTGTAGTTGAAAGACAATATAAAAATCATTTTTAAGGTAAGAACAATTTACAAACATATTTCAGCTACTGAAAAATAAATAATATGCCTTCTTCTACTTTCTCCCAGACATATATACACATTGTTACTTAGAATAATATGCATATATAAGAGAGTATTTTAGAAACAATCCAACTTTCAAAACATTGTTGCCACAACTGTTTATCTGTAAAGTAATATGTTAATCCAAATTATTTAATTGTTGTTGGTCTGGTAAAAATCTAAAGATTTAAGATGCCTATTTTTTAATGAAACCAGTAATCTTTAATTTTAGCCAGTATCTCCTTAAATAAACCAAGTAATCGCTCATTGATTAAATCATTTTTTATGTATAAACCATTGCTGTCTTTAAACCTGTAATAGCTTATAATAAAAGGACCTTGTTCATCGGCAAGTAATGATCAGTTATTTTTTCTTTTTCATTAATATTACTATAAAATGCATTTATTTTTACTTAAACATGTCTAGGTGTTTATCTTTCAAATGAAACCGTTATTTTACTCGCTTTTTAAAAACATACATTTCCTCATTATTTAGTAGTTCCCAGTTGATTAACTACATAAAGGCAAACCTGACCATTCTTTCTCTCGTTAGGTAGAAACTGAAGCCCCTGTAACTCCACTAGTGGCGTACCAAAAGTACTAAGAAAAATACCTGACCACTTCAAATTTTAAACTTTTCCAACTCTGACCATTCTAGAATGTTTCTCTTACAAATAACTTTATGTAAAGAAAGCCGTCTTTCAATTCCTTTGTTCCTTTTTACCTCTTTCAGATTAACCTTTAGAATTAGCTTTACTAAACCACAATCAAGGACAACAATAACAAAGCAGTAATGAAGTTTTAGGAAAGATCTTTTAACTGTAGTTGAATGGCACCAGAGGTCATTCAAATATCTGCGCAAAACTAGAAGGGTCTATGCGAGGTGATAAATGATACATTATCTACCATCTTACAAGCTCAAACACGATAAAATCAATGAAATGATGACCCTCTATGCCAATAATTCCTATTTGAATTTAGGTTCAATGAGTGTAAGATTTTTGCTGTTGTTGCTACTAGTGTATCTTCAAGCCCTAGAACAGGTTTGGCAAATGTAGAGGGTAATCAAAAATATTTATTAATGGACATCCTATGAGGTAACTTGTTTTAATATTTAGCCAAATACAAAGATTTTTAAAAATGGAGAGGCAAAGGAGAATAGGTATAGGTAGGTACATATATGCAACAGTGTATTGAAAATTTATAGAATTTATATTCTCGTACTTATACCCCTTCTATGAACATTTTCTCTTCCTTATACCGCTCATAAATAAGGTAAAAATCAGAAATCTATTTTCTTTTCTTAATTGGGAAGTGTATACTGATTAATAGATAGTGTGCTATTACAAGCACAATTTGCTTCCATTATACTTCCCCCAAATCTGACCTTTTCAAACACTTGAAATAAAAACAATTTAAAAAAAAATAAAAACAATTTTATGAATGAGTGTTTTCTAGCTATCAATACTAAATGCTTGATCAAAGATTCGGTAAAAAAGCCTGGATCACAAGGGGGAAATGCAAAACAGAATTTTAAATTTTCATGCACTTTAGACTCTCTAGATCCAAGAAGGCTGAATGAATCCTTAAAACTATTGTCCTGAGATAATCTTTAGGACGGAAACCAAAAAAATGTTCCTTAAAGTCTTTTTTAAGCCAAACAGTAGTTTAATTAGTAATGAATGCCTGCCTTGTGCCTGGTGCCCATTTGAGAACTATTACATATAGGAGAGACCATTGAAAATAGCAACTCAGTAGATTAGAGAGTTAATTTGGGGGCAATGAGTTTATATTAATGAAGGACCAGATGGATGAGATAAAAGGATGAAAATGATTGCAGAACTTTAAAATGCAATCCATGCCACTAACTTGTACGTGAGAAAGTGTTGGATGCTGGGACAGCAACCACAACAAAATAAAATGTTCAAATATTAAAGAAGTACATTAAATAAAGAAATAAATACATAAATAAGTGTTTTCATTTTTGCCTCCGTAGAATGCAGTCTTCTGCGACATTAGACCTTCTGGTCGGGGAAAGGAACTGAACTACCATCCCCAGATGGAAGCAAACCATGAGGGAAAAAGAGAAAGGGGCAGTCGGCCTAGACTGCATATAGGCACATCACGCCCAGAGGATGAGGTCCTGGCATGGAGCTGCTGGGGCACAGAGATGACTGTGGGACAGCCAGAAACTCAAGACATGTTGTCCCCTAACTGGAGCATACTGAGATAGGGGACAATAATGGGGACATATGGCGGGGAGACTGTGGGAATAGAGCATAACAGATCAGCAATTGGAGTAAAGCTGAGTCACAGAGCCCCTGAGGTACCCCAAGAGTGGACTTTGGGCTAGGAGGGGAAGCCTCTGGATCTCCCTTAGAACCAGGAGAGAGGGTCTCCTGGGGACCAGAAAACAGACCCGGACCTCTGTAGGGAGATTAACATAGGTGTCCACTTAGGTAATACATTAATCCATAACAATAGTGGTATTGGTCTATGTATATATATTGATAAGGCAATACACTGAAGCTGCAGACTGGACTTGGGCCTCGGCTCATACCTTCGCTCAATACAAGAACACTTTGTTCTAACAAATTGGTATTCTGTAATGCCCCCCACCCCACCCCCCTACACAATCAGTGAAGACAAAGTGGGTGCGTAAGCAGATGTGGTGAAGACAGAGGATGGTGCCCGGCTATTGAAAGATACAGTGTCTGGGGTCTTAAAGGCTTGAAGTTAAACAAGCGGCCATCCAACAGTGAAGCACCAAGCCCACATGGAAGAAGCACACCAGCCGGTTTAATTATGAGGTGTCATCGAGACTGGGCGATGGGCATCAGATGACTCAAAACAAACAGTAAACAAACAAACAAAAATGGAGGAGGGGTTTGGAGCAGAGACCCAAAGCCCATCTATGGACAATGGAACATCCCCCCACAGAGGGGTCACAGGGACGGGTTGAGTCAATCAGGGTGCAGTAGCACACTAATGGATCACTTGAGGCCTCCTCACCCCCAGCTATCATGACCCCAGTGCCGCCTCCCAATCTAGACTAGACGGGAGCATGTACACAGGTATAGGGAAGAGATAAAGCTCACAACACGTGGAACCCAGGAACAGGAACGGGGATAGAGGTACCAAAAGGGGAGGGGGAAAGGGGGAGGATTGGGAGGAAGGGGGGCACTGATCGCAAGGAGTGGCACATAACCACACACACCCAGCCAGGGGGGAGAACAACAGAAACCAGAGGGGAAGGGAGACAGCGGTTGGGGTGAGATTTGAAAATAATTAACAATCTACAATCTATCAAGGGGTCACAAGGTGTGGGGGGCGAGGAGGAGAGAGGGGAAAAAAAGAGGAGCTGATCCCAAGGGCTCAATGGAAAGTAAATGTCTAGAAAAGAATGATGGAATATATGTACAAATATGTCAGATACAATTGATGTATGGATTGTAACAAGTGCTATAAGAGCCCCAATAAAATATTTATAAATTTTTTTAAAGACAAGAATACCGTTTTCTGAAAAAACAAAACAAAACAAAAAAAACGAATGTCATGTATTTTGCAAAGGTCTATGTAACGCCTAAACGAACATTCATCAAATATTAAAAACAAAGCAGTTTTGGATCAATAAAAAGGAACAATTCTGAAAGACATTGTGTCAAAGTCTGCTTAAAACCATGAATGTCACTAGAGTAGCCAAACTGTTAACAGCAATCTATAGACTCCATCGTCATAGCCATGCACTTTTCTTCCTGCCTCCTTCATCGATTTAACTTCAGTCCCTACAGTTACGCCCCAAACACGGTGTTACACATAAGAGAATCATTATACTTCTAAATTATAGAAAGATATGTAGCAACAATTCTATTTTTAAAACATCTAGACATCAAATTAAATAATTAGAAAATTAAGTACATTCTAGGTGAAAGAAATTAGCCATAGATCATACACAGCTGGCCCCAAGACAGATTTGAAACAGCACATTTACAGACTAGCAGTCTTTTCCTCCATATGAAAGAAATAAGGTAGCCCAATCATGCACCATAAGAATCATCTGCCATTCAATTCAAAAATTTGAACCTCTAAAATATAAAACTATAAAAGAACTCTTGTAACAGGGTTTTCTTCTCAGATGATGAAATTGCCCTTCCTACAGTGCTAAATGCACAGGAACAAAAACTTGTAAATACTTCATTCACTTCTTCCTTCATTTGACTTAAAATCCAAACACCTCTGCGACCAGCAATTGCCTCAAGGTTATGAATCAAAACTCTCACCTAGCAACTAACAAACCAAAGCAAACTAGTTTGTAAAACCCCACCAATCTCAGTCTAACCACACACACACATTTCATCATCAAATCAAACCAAGAGCACTCTATGAAGCAAGTCTAAAAGGAAGAGGCAGTGCCCGCGATAAGGAACAACGTTGTTGTTTAAAAATGGCGCGTATAGCAGAGAAAGCCCATTTTGATGGGCTTCCTCTCGAAGGAGGGAAGGGCAATCCATGTACTCACCTGGCTAACGGGTTCTTTCGTGGGTGGCTTTCCTCGTCTGGCTGTGCCCGTGGCTAGGGTCGTAGTGGTTTCCATAATGGACGTGGACATCTCTGACTGCATGGCAGTGGCTGTCGACTCGGTTGTCATAGAGGAAGGCACTTCACCAACCAGTCTCACATTTCCCACTATGGCGATGTTGGCATCATTTTCGGCTGCCATATTCAGAACTTTCAAGCCATTGTAGTAAAGACCAGAGAGCTGGCCCTGGAAGGGCTGGCCCTGCTCTTTCCCGCCAATTATTATGGTTGCTTGGCTATTGAAGATTGTGAGCTGACGCCCTGTAAAAATAATATTACATACATGCAAAAGTGTTGATTGTGAACTCTACATTCTACAAAGGATGATAAAACAGATCTTTCATGGAGTGGATAATGAGAGCAATAAACTATAAGAGAGGCAGTTGACTCATAATTCATTGCTTATAAATGAAGTGTCCATGGAATGCATACTTATTGGCAATACATATAAATTCTCAACTTATTGTAAATGTAGTGCGTTTGCTAAAAAACCAATCAAAGATATTTCTTACAAATCAATTTTTAGTGGATCCCCTTTCCTTCAAGATGTTATGCTGTTGGTTGCTAAATTTAAAAAATAAATAAACAAGTGAGATAATCTACTATTTCAAGTACTTGTCATTCTGAGATTAACACTAGCAGATACTAATCTAGAGTAGCAGAAATCTAATTTAAATTTATGGTAAAAAATTTCATAATTCAGATAATAGTCACAGGTACGTATATCTAGGCTTTAAAATGCTGAGTTTTAAGGCAATTGTCCATTGTTATATGAATGGTTTTATTTTATTTTATTATTTTTTTCCGGCAACAATAACACTGAAAGGAAATGCATGGTGTACACTGAGCCTGCCAGAGACAAAAATTCAAAAATATTTTTCTGATTGGCTTTCAGCAAGTCTATCAAAATAAAACAAGATGAAAAAAAAATTGCTTCAGATGTGAAAAGCGGCTTCGGGAATGATACACAAACCGATGGAGAATCTATGGCATATTTCCATCAGACAGCAATCCTCAGCAACAGCACCATTATCATCAAATTGACATCCAATCTTAGCATGCACACAACTTTAAGTTCAGTTTTCATGAGAGCTTGTTCCCAAATGCTCTTTGAAGGTTGCAAACGTTAAAGGGACTTCGTTTTGACTGGCAATTCATCTTGCCCGCTATTTAAGATGCCTAGAGTTTAAGCAAAGAGTTGTTTGTTTGTTTGGTTGGTTGTTGTTTTGGTTTGTTTGTTTTGTTTTTCAGGACCATAATAAAGATATCAGAACTACATATATTTTAGTTAATAATTTAGAGGCTGGGCCATGTAACATAATCTATGAATGATTTATCATTTTGGGTTAATGCTTGCTGCGAGTGCCTTCAAAGATTGAGTTAGTGGATTATATTTAACAGTCCCTTTAACCTTAAGTTAACAGGGCAAGATTATTAAACAGCTGATACGTCTAAAAAAGGTATAGAAATTATTATACAAGGTATGCAAATATTACTATCTACATTTTACTGTTTTAAATTTGTTTTTAATTTAGTTTTACGGAAAATTTATTTTTTATGTTTATTAGTGTTACAATGAAGAACTACTTGGTTATGTTCAAATTATTTTTTTATTTGAAGTTTTAATCAATGTTTTTACCTTTGTCGAGTAGCCATTCATCAACTACTCGACCAAGTCGATATGGAATTCGCTGTCTAGCAATCGCCAGGCGCTCGTTATCATTGTTTCCTTTAAAGTTTAAAGAGACATTTCATTGGTTAAAATCTGTAAGGTCAAAGGTTAGACGTTAATACTTAAAGCTCGAGCTATACAGTTGCCACATGATTTTTTGAAATTTGGAATTTTAAAAAGCTCTACCTAGAACATTTCATGTTTCAGACTTTTCATTCATTCATTTATTTTATTTTAGCAAACAAAATTATTCCTATGTTAATTGAAAATTAGAAATCTGCATTTGAGCTAGGTTATTGAACTTATGTTATAGACAGACCCGAACAACCAATTTAAACAGCATATCATAGCTTTACAAAAAATGACCATTGACCTCAGGGTTTTGCCTTTTTGATGTTTCTTATTAACTAGTTAAACATGTTCAGGTGAAACAGGTTTAAGTTTTCAAAAGACATTCAACCAGATTAGTAATTTATGAACACCAAACTTAATATACCATCTTTGGCACACTGAAGCATCTAAAAGAGGCCTAGCATACTTTATTTCCTATTCAGAAAACAGAAATTCATATCTCATCTAAGGAAACCACAAAGTCCAAATTGTTCTTGTGTATTCTGCACAAATTGGTTTCTCAGTCATGTGTCCCTCACAAGAGAATGCCTCTTGCATTATCCAAATCTGTTGTAGGAAAAGGCTTTGACAAAAGTGACTTCATTTAAATGTTCTTCAGTTTCATTTAAAACATAACATGTTGAAACATATACCACTTGAAAGGAATCTTATGTTTGTTTTTATATACTCAACTCAAATATCTGCTTTTTATTAACCAATTCTATAAAATACATGACAATTTAAGGGAGAGATGGAAGCCACAAACCGATCGCATTCATAAACTAAATGAGAGCCTGACCATTTTGAACAAAATATATCTGAAACAACGTTTAAATTGACCTTGAATAATGCTTGCATATAGATGAATGTTTTCTTGATCTATGAAGTACTTAAAAAGAAGGTAGGCTGCCATCTAAGTGATCAATAGTGTGAGTTGCAAGAAAAGTTTTCTTAATGAATGGGAAATTTCAAGCTAAGGCATTTGAGTAATAGCTCAGATGAAGATTCAGATGTGAAAAAAATAATGAGTGGGAGAAATGATCACATGAAAAAAGAGGAGTTTTCACTAGTGAAAATAATGGGAATTTTTTCTCAAGCTAAGAGTAATTTAATTCCTATCTGATGCTAACATTTTTACTCATTATACTTACCACAATAAACTCACCAGGCCATTGGTCACAGAGCTTTAGAAAAATAAAAAAGGACTATTTTTTTGGATTCTATCAATTTTTTATTTAAGCATGTACACACTGAAAATATTTCAGAACAGAGAATAGACAATGTGGAGCCAACTGTAAAGTTTAATAAAAAAAATCTTCGTATTCCTATTTCTGTATGTAATGGTATTTTCATGACAATAAATCATTGCAAAAAATCGAATTGTCTAATAGCCAAACATTGTTTAATTCCAACTTGAGAGGACTTCAAAAACTTTATGCAAAAATTTCATTATCTTTTAATTCATTTTTTCCATGAACTTTTGAGTTTTCCCTCTTACAGTGCATTTGTACTGCAGCATGTTATATAATCATGAAAAATGTTTGAAAGTAACAAATATTAATTTTCAAAAGTTTACATAGCTTTTAAAACACACCTTCTGAAAACGTGCACAATGAGTGTTCTCGCATGCATGCATATATGTATATTTGGATAAATGTACTGCAATTTAATATTGGTTATCTTAATACACTGTGTTTACTGATAACCTAGATATTTTAGGCTTCAATGTGATTTATGAAATAAGCATGTGTTGTTTTTAAGATTTGAAAATCAAAATAAAATATTATTTAAAAACCCATGCCTTTTGCTCTAAGGCCTTATTTCCTGCTCACTGTTCACACAAATCCACCATGCTCTGATTCTCTTAGTAACTTGAGAAGTAGGTGACTCCTCAGAGAGTTTTTCATGTGGAATTGACTCATCAGCTGAACTGACTCACGTCCATAGTCACTACTCTAGCATAGCTCCAAGCCCGGTCTTGCTTAATTACTGAGTTTTTGGTTTTGCTTTGTTTTGTGTTGTTTTTACAGATATCCCTCTCTGCAAGCAACCCCACCTGCCACTTATGTGATTATCACCTGTGTCACTGTCTTTTGGGTAAACTTTCTGACCCTTAATGAGGCTCACAAAGACTTCCGCAACTTGACCCCTTCCTGTCTCTCCTGACTGAGCTCATGGCTTCGCCGTCTTCAAGTTTCACAAGGCTTTCAGTTCCTCTCATGCTCCTCTTTCTCCTCTTTGGGTTTTGTGTTTGCAGTTTCCTTTATTTAAAATAGTCTCCTTCTGGCCCCATACTACGTCCACCTTCCTATTGCTGCTTTTCGTTACTCGCTGTTGAGTTGCGTCTAATTCCTGGCAACCACAGGTTTTCAAGGCTGAAGACAGGTCTTACTTGGGACCTGGGTGGACTCAAAACAGCAACCTTTCACCTACTAGTCCAGCACCCAACCATTTGTGCCACTCATGAACTGTGGCCATCTTGCTTTAGCCGACGATTGCCAAGAATATCACTTCCCCAGGCAGACTTCCCTGACATCCCTAACCAAAATCCCCAAGCTCCAAGGCAACTACCGTTGAGTTGCTTCCATCTCATAGAGACTATCTAGGGCTTCTGAGGCTATAAATCTTTACTCTAGCAGAAAGTCTCATCTTTCTCTTGAGGAGCAGCTGGTGGGTTTGAACTATGGACCTCACAGTTAATTGTCCAAATCTTACGAAACAACACAACCAGACCTCAGGACACCAGGTTATCGGCTTCCCTAGCTACTGATGGTCACAAAATGAGTTTTGAAGTTCTGACTGCATATTCTACATATATATCTGTCCTTTACGTGCTGATGTTTCAGGCGGTGAAGTACCAAGCATTATTTATAATGTCATATTCCCTTTCCTTGCACAGTACCCACCAAAGGACCTCCCAATTACTTTCTACAAAATGAAAGAGTGAAAGATCTCTTAATTTTAGGTGGGAGCTAGTTAACAACCTTTAAAAGAGCAAATCTTTGTGCACAGAGAAGGTGCCGCACAAAGCTAAGATTCCCCTTGGTACTCTCCAAAAGAACAAAGAAGCTATCGCATTTAGCAACTATAATTGTATTTATCTGATGGGCCGTCACTGGTTTGAATATTTGTATGTCAATCATTCCATTATTTGTTTAGTAATAACCACCTGATGTAACAAAACCGGTAATTAGAGTGAGAAACTTATCGATGGAAAATAGCACCTATCACAAGCACTGGAATGGCATTCTCAGCAAACATTTGACACTATATTTTAGTTTTACCATAACAGGTGCACAACTCAGGCTCATTCATCTTTTACTTAGCACATGATGGCCATATGTAATAGTACAATAGCACCTTGCATTGACAGAAATTGGGCTATATTGTGCTCAAAATAAAAATTATTTTTTAGATTCTTTTCTTTCTAAATCAGCAATCACACAGTCTGCCTTGACCTGCGAGGCTCTCAAATGTGTAACTCTTGGTATTAATGTGCTGAATGATCTCTCACAGCTGGTGATGAAAATGGTGAGTGCGTTCATCGAGACTACTCGGTGGCACATCCCTGCCAGCAGCATCCTGGACACCTGCCACACCTGCCATGCTTTATTTCTGCCTCTGATTATCGTTATGATTGGGAGAAAGCAGGTGGAGGAAATAGCCTAAATACAACAAAAATTGTCAAGATGTATATATTCTTTTTGAATGACTGAATGACAGCACACAGAAAACACCAAGCACGCACATACATGGTTACGCATACAAAAAAAGATATAATTTTCCCTTTAGATATACCTCTCTCCATCAGAGAAAAATTGATATGTCTGACGCAACAAGATTTCAGTCAACAGCGGCTCTAGAAGGTCTTTAATGGGTCAGGTAAACTGAGGACACAGACACTGCATTTTCAATGAATAACAAAGAAACCTCCATGGCAGCAAAACTAACCAAGAACCTGGAAAATGCAGTAGGTATAAGAAATAGGTGTGCAAACAGGGGATAATTGATAAGGCAGGCAAATGTCTTATAATGTCAATGCCTTCTAGTTCAGAGAGTTGTTTTTGTTTTTAACAGATTTTATTTTGAAATCAATGAGTAGGCATTTTAATTTTTCTACGAGAAGGCTTTGTGGCAGAGTGCTAACCCTTTGGGTTGGGATCGGCAAGGTTCCTGGTACAAGACCACCATCCCCTCCGCAGAAGACAGAAGGGCCTTCGACTACAGTGAACACGTAGACAGTTACAGTCGGGACACTCCAAGGAGCAGTTCTACCCTCCCAAGAGGGTCCCTCTGTGTTGCCATCAACTTGATGGCAGAGAACTTCTTTTCGGGGGGTTCCTTGTAGGAGTAATGGAAGAGTAATCAGAGTTCACTTCAATTCAATATATATGCCGGCCTATTCTCCAAATCATTTCTTCTTCTACTAGAACAAAAACGAAGACCTTTCTTTTTTTTAATCATTTTATTAGGGGGTCATACAACTCTTATCACAATCCATACATACATCAATTGTGCAAAGCACATTTGTACATTCATTTCCTTCATCATTCTCAAAACATTTGCTCTCCAGCTAAGACCCTGGCATCAGTTCCTCATTTTTCCCCTCCCTCCCCTCTCTCTCCTCCCTCATGAACCCTTGATAATTTACAAATTATTATTTTGTCATATCTTGCCCTGTCTGACATCTCCCTTCACCCACTTTTCTGTTGTTCATCCCCCAGGAAGGAGGTCACATGTAGATCCTTGTAATCGGTTCCCCCTTTCCAACCCACTGGTCCTGAAGGGATCACCCACCCTGGATTCCCTTTCTTATATCAACATTAATATAAACCTATTCTTATCTCAGTGACGAGAAATATAAAAAGAGCACGGGTTGTTTTAGTAGATGATTTCTAATTTTCTTCTAATCTTGAGTATCAAACAGTTCAGAGGGTTTGGGTTTA